GATTATGCCAGCTCATAATTGTCAACAATAGTTGTCAATCATAATTGTATCTATAGCATGGTTCTTCTAAAAAATATGCCTTTGTGAGGAAAAAATAATAGGATATCCTATAGAAGTGTAAAAAATAAGAATAGTACTGCTTAACATAATTTACAAATAAGATAACTAAACCGAGAAGGTTAATTTTTGTTTAGAAATACAAAACTAAAAGACAAAATTCACAACAATCTAACAAATATTTTTCTTTGCGAAAAGGAAGGAATATAAGCTCAGTCGTATATAATTTGGGTTCAGAAACCAAAACATACAATAATATTTTCTAGAGCAATTTCAGAAACCTCCTTGAGGTCTAACATAAATATAGACACGTCCTCCAGTTTAAAAAAAAAAAAAAATAATAATAATTATAGAGACATGCCATGAGGTTTATTTGGAGTACATATTCCCTCTTTCACTATTTTTAAGGTGATTTTTGGAGAAAAAAACTGTTTAGTACCTAAAATGACCATTAGAATCCTTAGTTCCATTTTAAAGCGTTTTGCCTAAAATACCCATTATAATCCTTAGTTCCATTTTAAAGCATTTTACCCTTTTAAAACCATAGTTTGACTTTAATTTGTTTGAACTTTGACACTAAAGTATTGTATTAAGCAATATTATTAAAACTTGACCAGGCCAGCTGATTCAATCGGGAAAATCGGGAACTGATCGAAAATACAGTTCGATTTAAGCTTAAAACCCGTTTAATTTAAAATTGGTCAATTGACCGATTTATCCACTACTCGAAAGACCTGGAACTGGTTTCTCCGGTTATGTTGGTTGGTTAAATGTACAATTTATAAAGAGGAAATTACACAAAAACAAGGATTTAAAGAATACAATTCAAAATTCAGGTGCAAGCTTTCGTTATTCATAAATCAGATATCAATAAATATAAACCTTACATCAATTTTCCTTTCACCCAAATCCTAACTCTCCATTATTTTCTCTCTCTAAAACCAGTCCTTCCTCTCTCACTGTAAAATTTGAGGCAAAATTCGGCAATGAAGAAGCTGCTTCGGCCAACGCTGTTGGAATTGGAGGCTGTTGAGAGTTCGTTGTAGCGTCATCGATGTCGGTGGAATCGGAGGCTGATGGTGGCGATGCTAGCAAATAAGAATTCGTTGCTGGAATCGGAGGCTGATGGCAGCGGTGGCGTGGTGTGCGTGGTTGAGCTGCAGATCGCGCCAACGATGGCGTGAGGTTGCGGTCGTGGTTGGGTGGGCACATGTGTCGTGGTTGCGCCTTAGATCGCAATGGTGATGGCGTGGTTGCGGTTGTGTATGTGTGTGGTATGGTGTGCGCGCGCGCGGGTGTTCGCGACGGCGATGACGTGGTGTTGGCTTCGACGACGTTTTTCTATGGGCGCTACAGATCTGGTTGGGTGCGGTGGGTGGTTGGTAGTGGTGGTGATAGTGGTGACGTGGGTGGTTGTTGGAACAGGATGCTGGTGGTTATGGTTGACGATGGTGATGGTGGTGGTGCGAGTGGTGGTGTTGGGGACGGTCACAAGGCGAGGGTGGTTACACGTGGCAATGGCTGATCTGTGGGTAGTGGTGCGTGGTGTCACGACGGGGCAAGGTGGGATAAACTGTGATCATAAAATTTGTGACTATTCAACTGTGACTTTAATATTCGATAATATATGACTAAAAAATAATTTGTGACCAATAAATTTGTAAATATGTGTTCGATAGATAAATTGTGACCTATAAATTTTTTTTTATTTGTGACCAATGAAACAATCTGTAATCTGTAGAATTTTTGATTTGTGACATCGACATAATATGTGACCAATTAATTTGATAATATGTGACCAATAAAATCATATGTGACCTATAATTGTTTATTTGTGATCATTAATTGTGTAATTGTGATCTTATTATATTTAAATAATAAATATATTTAATTAATTAGTCAATATCTGAGTTCTGCATTTTAACCTTGACACTTGAGAATTGAATTGTGTCATACTTGACACCTGATTTTTGAACTTTTCCCAATTATAAATTTATCAACTTTTAGCCTATAAACAGGCTTAAAAAGGTTACTTACCCAAATTTTGGCCCACCAATTTATGGATTGCATTTCTAGTGATTTTGTAGTGAGAATTTGAAAAACAACAATTCTACTTCAACAAAGTTGGGTTACAAAAGTGAATTTACAGAGTGTGTTGGCATAATCCAGGCCACTGATTTCAAATAATTTAAAAATTTATTTTTGAAATGATTGGTGTAGATCCAACTTTGTCAAAGTCCTTTGTCATTGTAGCATAACTTTTCGAAAAAGCAACCACTTTAATTACGGTCAAAGCAAATTCCAATTTTTTTATTCTTGCAATCATTCACATACTCTCTTTCCTCATCCTCTAATTTTTTATTATTTATTTTATTGAGTTAATTATTTTTTTGTCTTATATTAATTAACTACTCAGTTCAATCTTTGTTCGACTCCGATTCGACTCTTTAACCCTTGACTCTCTATCCTTTTTGGGTCAATGCTGGGTTTGGGTTTTAAAACACTGGTATTAAGAGCATCTTCAATATGCTTTTATTATGCAATTTTCTTTATATTAGAGAGTTAATAGTTTTTGTTAGGAATCCAACATATTACATTTTAAAATAAAGAGTGGATTTGACTCTAAACGTAGAGAGTCAACCCTACTCTCTATATTTTAGTGTTTCCATGTATTATTTCACGACTTTCCATACTCTTCTTTCAAAATAAGGGCAGTGCTACAGTTACAGGGGCCTGATTTACAGGCCCTGCCAGGGAAGACACACGGTGGGCCCCACGATAATTTTTTTTTTTTTTTAATACAGGTGGGCCCCCCCGCACAGTGAGGGGCCTGTAAGCAGCCTGTGAGAGAATGCCCTGTACGCAGGGCATTCTCCTCAAAATAAAGAAAATGATAAATAAAAAAAGAGAAGCCAAGTAAAATGGGGGTGGGATATCCTTTATTTTAGAAACGATGCTCTTTAAAATAAAGAGCATGGTTGGAAATGTTTTAGCAATTTTAGAATTCAAACTGAATTAAGCTATAATTAGATATAGTATGTTATCAGCACATAACAATATGTTTTTGAACATTTGTCAACTTATTACATCTCATAAAATATAATTAGATAAATATGAAATTTGTTCATCTATTATAAATTCTGTAAATCGTTCGATTCAAGTCGTAGATAAATTTCAAGTTATTGTTGCCAAGAAAATTCTATAATGCTTGAAAGATTTTAGAGAAGTTCAATTGTTTCAATTTATTTATTTATTTTTGAAAATTTAGTTAAAGTTGAAAGTTTTTATAGTCCAATGTAATACAACTTAAATTTTCCATTACGTGTAAGAATAGAAACTTTAGAAACTTATTATTTATACTATGTGTTCAAAAAATATCCAAATGAAACTAAGTTGATAAGGAGTAAGGGGTATTTCAGACATTTGGCAAGCTTTTTCTTACAAAATTGCTTAAAATAGTAAAAGGCGGAATATGTCCTTAAAAATAAATGTTGGGTGTCTCTTTATTTGTCATATACCTCTGGAGAGATTTCTTAAATTTTCCCCGAGCTTCTAGTATATGATTTGTTTTGATAGAAAAAGGCAAATCAGAGACTCAATGCTTTTGTTGATTTTAAAATTTCTTTTACAACCAAAGGAAGCCAACACATCTTTCCTTACAAATTAATTAGATCACTACAATGGTTCTAGTTACCATGGTTGATCTCTTTATAGATTAGAGAGCACAAAACTGTAAACAAAAGGATGATGAGAGAAAAGATGCTGCATTTTTATTCATTCTGCTGATACCTTTATGTATGCAATACAGTTAACAACTTCAGCAAAATACCACCAACTAATTTATTCACAGATCTGCAGAATCTAATTCAATTATCTGTAAACTCAAGCATAAAGACATAACTACACTTAAACGCACTAACAAGATAAAATTGCATGGAAGAATTTAAAGTATTATAACTTCTTCATCCTTTGAATAATAAAAAGATCTGTTTTGTTAAGCAGTAACACATTTTTCGTCTAGTGAATTCTTGTAATACATAGGACCTGACAGAGTTTATGGAAGGAAAATTTGGTGTATGCTATCCATCTTTGTTGAAATTTACACAGTTTATTAAGTTTTGAGGAAGGACAACACATGATCTTTCTAGTTTGGAAAAAGTCATGAGTACAGGGAATTCTTGACAGAATTCCGACCAATGCTGACATGGTTTTTGATGATTGGATTTATTATTATTATTATTTTTTGGTTTTCTTTTTCCACCTTCCAATTAATTCCTGCCATGTGTTGTGTATCAAATTTTTCTGTACTTTTAGCGTGATTGTTCTAGTTTTTGCTTTTCAAGCTAACTATCTTTCGAAGAGAATTGATTGAAGTAAATGCATGCACATTATTATTTTGTTTCCCACAAATAATAGTCCCCTTGCATATCAGATTTTCATTTTCAGCATCAACTTAATTTAATTTTCAATTAAACAGTGTGTGCTTATATAAATAGAGCGAAACTAGTTATATTTAGCTTCCTATGCTCGCTCTTAATATTCAGTTTTTCCCCCCTCAAAAACCACAATTTCTCATTCATTCGGAATTGGTTCTAAGATTCCAAATAAACCACGATGATCTAATCGACGAGTAGAACAAATTGGTCTATTTACATTTGTAGTTTGACTATTGGATCAAGTTCGAATATTTGGCTGAAGTAGATACGAAAGTCACTTTTCCACTTTTATACTTAATCAAATTTTCTCAATTTTAAACCGATTTCCAACAAACTGCAGATTGGAGTGGTGAAAAAATCAGCTGAATACTCGTTGCATCATATTGAGAAATGGATGGCTCCCAAAAAGGTTAGTTGTTTCCTGAAACACTACTTTGTTTATTGCATTAAGAAGCATGGGATTACCCTTCAATCAGAACTGCAGGGTAACAATTTAAATATAAAACTGAAAACCTTGAATATTGCTTAGGTTCAACACTTCCCCTCAAGTTGGAAAGAAATGTTCTTTCATAGCTTTCTTGTGATAGATTGCATGATCGAGTTGTTAGCCCTTCATTCAGTATACTGACCAAATGCCTTTATGAGGATATATGGTTGCTACGAACTCATTATTCTCAGTGGTAAATCACAATGCACTTCAATGTGTGCTTTGATCGATTATTTTAACTTGGATTATCAGCTGTACCAATTGGCAATTCGTTTCCACTGTAGAGCTTCTTCCCAACTATTTACATGAATGTCTAATTTTTCAAACACATTAGAAAATGTTAAGGTAAAGGGTGAATGATCAGGAAAACGTGGAGCAACCATAATTTAGGTTTTATTAGACTTGTTCCTTTTGGATAAAAATGATAGGAGTTGAGACCGTCATACCATTCACAGCTTCAAGGAAGTATATGCCGTCCTTCACTCTTAACACGATCAGTCATCTTCCCCATATAAAGTTCTTGAAAACTGCTCTTGGCAGGTGAGGAATTCACATAGAAAATTTTGATTTTTGTGA